AACAGGAAAGTTAGTTAATACACCTTATTATTTTATATAACGTTCACAGATATATGAAGAAGCAAAAAGATATCTGAAAAAACTTTATTTATTCGATCAATTTAATGGTATGGATGCGGGGTGGCAAAAGTAGGCAGTTTTAGATATAACAACAGGAATCAGTTTACCAAATTAAAAAAATTAACTTATTCCGTTGGTTTTCCTGTTGTAGATATTTAAAGTTTATATAAAAAAAAATGGCCGAAATAATTTAGTTTAATTGATTTATTTAATTGTTATATTAGATAATGAGCAAGTAATAAACATACAAACAGAAGAACTAATTGTTGATAACGGTGACAGTGATAGTGATTCCGATGACGACAATGATAAACTAACTGTAAGACAAACAAAAGCATTAGGTTTTTTTTTTCTTTATAAGTTATACAACAGTTTACGTTTACTGAAAACTTATTTGTGAATCGGTTTAGGGTGATTTACTAAAATAGGACATAACTGGGCAAGTACCTACCTGCGCGACGCTCGTCAACTTCGTTCGCCCGACTGTCATTAGTGTGTCAGCTGTGATACTATTTAAAGTTGTCTCCCAAATTTATATTATTACAAGTGATTAAGATGTTTTTATCCGTAAATCAAGTTTTTAAATTTATTGAACCGACTCCTAAATGTCGAAATTTTGCACTATCTGTACTAATCATGTTAATACTGCAATATTTTTTGCTCCAGAATCCTTCATGCTATCATAATAATTAAATTTCACTCGAAAATGCTTTTTTTTTTAATCATTTAAATTATTAAATATAAATAAATTAGAATTTATCCAGTTAGCGCACCCTGTCCAGTGTCAATGCTATTTTAATGCAAATATTCATATCAGATTTTTAAATGTAAAATATATCCAACATCATAAGGTCGTCAGTCCTAAGACTGGTTGGACACATACCTCCACTCTTTTCTATCTTCAGCTAAGCTTCGCATTTACCTGAAACTAGAACAACCCACATCCTTAACTATTTGTGAACAGTAATCTAACCTAGGTCTACCTCTACCCCTCCTAACTCCTGTTTCTGCCTCTAATATGTCTCTGGCTAAACCTTCATGCCTGAGAAGGTGTCCTACCAACCTATCTCGCCTATTTCTTATTGACTTCCATAGAGTCCTCTGTTCTCCTATTCTTTCTAATATCTCTTCTTTTCTAACCTTTTTTATCCATGTTATCCTTATTATTCGCCTATAACACCACATTTCGAACGCTTCTAACCTTTTCCTTTCCGCCGCGCCCACCGTCCACCCGTACAACGCCGCGCTGCAAACATACACCTTTAAAAACCTTTTTCGAATTTCTAAATTAACCGTTCGCGAGCATAGAAGTGACTTCTTTTTATTAAAGGCAACGCGACCCTGTGCTATCCTCTGCTTTATATCCCTACTACTCCTTCCGTCCTAACTTATCTGACTTCCCAGATCCTAAAATCAGCCACTTCTGCTAATTTTTCGTCTCCTATCTTTATATTCGCTCTTTCCCTACTTTTTCTTCCCTGCCTCTCTTCCTAATATTTACTTTTTACGTTGCAACCCTAGCTCTATAACTGCCTGTTGTTCTTTTTACAAACTAAATATCACTCTTCTATCTTTGTAACTCATCCCTACATTTTAAGTATATTTAACATCTTGTCCCATTTAGCATTGTCAAAAGCTTTTTCTAAATCTACAAATCCTATTAAAATACAGGTGTACTAATACAAATAATGTACAATAGCAAAGTTTCGTATCAAATAAAACAATCAGAAAAGCACTCCTTACATTCTCACACACTATACCGATAAAAGCGGCGATGTACATTATTTTCGCAAAAGGCAAAGCCTGTGCCCGTACGCACTCTTTCCTTTTTCTATTGTTTTCTCTATTGTTACACATAAAACTAGAATGGCCTCCCACGTTCCTCTATTTCTTCTACACCCAAATTGATCTTCTCCTAATAGTTCTTCCATCATACTCTGTACAATTCTAGTTAAGATTTTTGACGCATGGGAAGTTAAGCTAATTGTTCTAAATATTTCGCACCTACCCGCGCCTCTCTTTTATTGGCGATGAAATGGCAATTAAAAACACTCCTTTCCTTACTTTTAATGTAAATGAATTCGAGGGCAGTAACATTTTTAAAAGCCATAAAAAATCAAATTTATCGCTTACCAAAAATTAATGGGACAAAGTGACCAATTATGTTCAATTTCTGACCTATTATAAATGGTATTTACTTTTTTTAAATCCATTAAAAATAAGGGAATATGTTCGCAAAACTCCATTTCAGTTTACCCCATCTACTAAATATGATTTCATTCGCTTTTAGCCACTATCTGTATTTTGTGGGTCGTAATTAGACACATGTTTAATAAGAATGCTTACATTTACCATTATCACAATAACGAACTTACATAAATTTTCCATATTGTCTACACATCTATCAACATTTTAGGTCTGCAGATTTTACTAAGATTGGTCCTGTATTTTTCATCTGTAATGATCCTAGATGCATTTCAAAAATTGGTGGTATGTATAACGTTAGGCCTAGATAGGTGTTAATTTAGGATCAATGCTGACTTATAACAATGGACCTTCGATGCAATTGTCGGTATTGCATCAACATATGTGCTCCTTTCAGCTCAAAATCGAGTTTTGCCAGTGAAGGGGTCTTTCAGGTATTACGTAACGCAATTTGGGGAGGGGGGTCTCGTAAAACGTTACGATGCGTTACAGGGGTGGGAGGGGGTCTCTCTTACAACACGTTACGTAACATTGTTTCTTTTTTTAAATAAAAAATTAGGGAATTAAAACTTCCATTTGTTGTTGTTTTAGTTGTCAGTATTCGTTAGTGTTTATGCAGAAGCACATTGCTGTAGTCGGTGTTATTAAAGTGAATTCATAGTGTTCATACTGTAATCCCCTCAAAAGAGGGAGATTTGTATCATCAGCTGTTCTTAGCCTATAAAGGGTTTCATATTGGCTTGCTAGCTCAACTGTGTCAAAAAAAATGCCAACGAAATTTGGAAAATGGCTAAAGAAAAACTAAAAAATAAAGAAAAGTTTATGGAACATATAAATGATGTTATACGATTGGCTCAACATAACTTTTGCGACTTAGGCAAAAATGGTCACTAGAGTGTTACGTAACGTTTAGAGAGGGGGAAAATTTTTTTTTTGTTTTTATACGATTTTGTGTAGTACTGAATATTTTCATTATGTCCTTCAAATTTGATATTATTAGCTATTTTAGTTTTTGAGATATAAGAGATTGAAAATTGTATTAATCATAAACACGGTGACTACTGACGTCAGTATAAGCAACTCTGGACTCGGAGATTATACCGTGACCGCTACCATCTGTTCAGATAAAGCGTTTTAATCTGAGAAAAAGTTCTTAACTAACAATAAAGTTGGTTTTAATAAAATTGCCTCTATTAACATATCACAAGTTGAGACATTTAAGATTATGGGCAATTTTAATACTAATAAAGAGTACCCACATTAATACAGGAATGAATTAAATAAAGCTACAGTGGTACCTCCGTTATTAGTTTAATAACTAATTATTAATACTGGTAATGCATATTACATAATTTCATTTTTCTTATTTAGATGTAGCGTAAATAACAATCTGTTTTCTCTAAAAAATTCAAATTGACTAATGACATCTATTGACCCAATAAAAGCTTGTCTAAAATAAATTCTATTCGTGGGCATGTTCTCTGTATTATAGACCTGGGAGACATTAAAACAACCGGAATTACTTTCTTAAATAAAAAAGTTAGATACCTACATCGGAAAACAAAATTATAATGTACTTAATACTTCTCAAAAAAGGCTCACAAAAGCAAAAATGGCAACTGTGTCATCTTAGTATGTATTGTCTAATGCAGCTATTTTTTGGTAATCAAAAATTTTTTAATTTATTTCCCCCCTTTCTTAAGATTTTTATAAAGATAGTCTCTATGTCATCATCAACTTATATTTAAAAGAAACAACATTATAGAATCTCTAGCTTTTGATGGATAAAGTCCGATCTCCGTTTGGCATGTTGCCGTGCTATTCTCATTAGCTTTAGTTGGATGGAAAACAAATCATTTATCCTTTTTTTTGTATTTTATTTTCTCAAATTATGCAATACTAACAAGCGCATTTTTGGAGTAATATAGAATGAAGCAATGTATGCCTACAAAGAATATTCCGCAAATACAGCCTGCAACGACTAATAACTAGCGTTAAGTCGCTTACAATCATCAAATTTATGCATGTAAAGACATAACGCCTAGCCACGCCCCTTTTCCCTAGAAGAGACACTTTGTAATTGTTTTTAAGACACTAAACGTGCGAATAAAATTTTGATTTTTTGCAGATATCTTATTTTTCACTTGAACTTTCAATTTATAAAAAAAAAATTGCTGAACGAGGCCAATTATAAGTAATAATTAAGAAGAAAATAATGTTGCATTAAAAATTTTATTAAAACAGAAGTATCCTTTTATTTTTCTAATATATACTACAGAAAATGTCATTAACTTAGCATAATGAAAATATGTTTTAAATAGATATTAAATAGATGGCTTTTATTAAGCCATTTATTACATAAAAAGCAAAACAATAATAATAGAATGTTATAACAACAACTATAAATTAATGAAATATTCATTGATACACACGCGATTTATTATTTTGATAACGATTTCAAAAGAAGATAACATTCATCATGTTCTTCGACAGACATGAGCAAAAACATAGCTTCATCCTTTAAATGTCTAATAACTTCAGTTGTTATATTAACTTTAATTCCTTGAGGACCTTGAATATACATTTCTTTAATTTGATTTGCAGATAAAGTGGAGAATGGTGCAATTTTAGCCAGCATTTCCGACTTCGAATGGGATGTTAGATAAACAGCATTGAATATAGAGGCATTCCCATTACAAACAAATAAAGTCAATTTAGGTAATAATGCCCTGAAATTATATAAAGTATTTATAATTACCTAATTAAATTCAACGTACGAGACAATATAATTTATAATACGTGCTAATCTGCAAGCATGTTTCTATGCATAATAAAGGAACTGGTGTAAATCAAAATTAGTAAATATTCGTTTTATTTTATTACTATAGATTTATATCTAGATGTTTGCTAATATAAAACTTTATCGGATTATGAAGAGGATTTTTAAAGATATTCCCATAGAAAGATAACCATGATTAGAAATTTGATCTGGACAACCATTGCCTAACCTTCAAAAACCAGTATTGGAGTCAAATATAGGGCTGCCTCCAGGAGAAGAAACAATTCAAGAAGTGTTAGATAAATTTTTACAATGTTTTCAAAAATGAAAGCAAAAAAGTAAGCTTCAGAACATAATCAATGAGCAGATGTTGCAAAACTCCACTCATCACTCGCTTTTCCGGAATTACCCGTACTAACTTATGCTGAGTTTCTTTTGTATTTATATGTATAGTAGTATTTCATAAATAAAAATACTACAAAGGGTGATGACAGAATAAATGGGTTAAAAGTCAAATTCTTTAGTTTCTAATCATATATCATATCAAATGATAGTAAATCGATTAAAACAGTGTTTTCTTTATCGAGTAATTGATAATTGGATCTAAACATTTGGATTCCAAACAGCTGACCAAAACAAGAATTCCAAAGTCAATTCAAATACGCGAACTTTCGTCCAATAATCTAAAAAATTGAACAGTTGAAGAGAATACTCATATCAACAAAACATGTGACGAAAGGAAAGCATAACGGCGGTTATACTAATTTTGTTATTGCTTACATTCAATTAATAATCAGTTACACGCAAAAGAGGACATTATTTTCGATTCGGTATCATTTACTGGAGAAATCAATGAATTATCTGACTTTGAAATCGCCTATTTATTGTATTTATGAAAATACCGTGACAGAAAATGTTAAGAATAAAAAGGTATTAGAAAGAATAAGATAACAAAAGGCGCTATGGAAGTCAATAATGAAAAGGATAAATTCTGAATTATGAAGTGATAGTTAGGTATGTTAGAATTTAGGAAAGAAAAAAGTGAAAGTGCGTGTGCAATCGTCTTCGGACTAACGACCCATTGATGATAGCTGTACAAATCATGAAGTGTATATGATTCGACAAAGTGCAATCGTTCGCAAATATTCCAAACTTGACGTTAAGCTACTTCATGATATAGCAAAACAATACTAAGCATATCCTAAAATGATTACAATTTACACAACTATTAACTCTGTTGAAGTACACATCACGGGGGCAGAAAATAAATCGAGCTTAATAATTATGTCGAAGTGAATAATAGTAAGTTAATTTAAAAGTATACTGCACACACGCATGTAATATTGTAAATTTTAAAGACAATAAATTATCTTATTTGCACTTTTGTTTTTCGTAGTCACAGTAAAAACTTTCTGAGAATGAGTTAGTACATTGAATGATACGTGCGTTATGACAAAAGTTAGTTGGGCACAAAATAGAATACCATCATTTCATGAAATTCCTAGACGTATTATGATATGTCGGATTATACGGTTTGTGTTCAGCATTTAGACTTACATTGACTTGACCCAAACTTAACATCTGTTAATATAACCTGCACAGTTCAATTTCAATGAAAAATATACAAAAAAGATAATTCAATTTCATTACTGATAATGGTAGATACATTATTTCTGGCAATCGCTTGCCTTTTCAGAGAATAAAGTACAAATTTTGTAGAATTTATAATTTTTTTATAATTTTTTTAAATCAAAAATTAATTTTTATTTAAAATACCTGTTATGTAAAGCGTTATATAGTCTAATGCCATCAGCTTGACCGCATATTTGAATTAAATCTTCTCTTGTCATTCGTAACATATCAGAACCGGAAAAATTAGAGAACATGTCCAAGTATTTCCCAAATCGATTGGAATTCAGCCATTTTAAGACATCTTCAGGATCTGATAATTGAAGAAAATTATCCTCATCTGGTTCCTGGAAGCATGTACTCTACAGGAAAAATTGTCAAGTTTATTACTAGTAGGTACTTACTTCTTCTTGCCGGTTGTCTACAGTATTTATGGTACTTAAAGAACTATAATTAGTAGATATCAAATTGCCATTATCGGTATTATTTTGAACCGGACTTGGTGATTTGTCACTCCTATTAAATAAATTAATATTAGATTAATTTAGAAACAATACACATTCTCTTATTTTGAAAACAAAAAACTTGTTTGTATCTTGATACAAAATGAAACAAAACAAGGATTATAAAATCTTTATCTTACTAATACATTTCCTACATAAACTATAGTATTAATAGATAAGTGTAATATTAGCATACCCTTCTGGAGAATAAGATCGTATGGGTATTTCCGGGGCTGGGAACCCAGAAAAAGCATCTAATGGCATCTATAAAATAAAGCAACGTATACTCTTTTTTCAAACAAATTCTTCACGTAATGTTAAAAATGAAATATATAAAATTGGAAATATAAAAATAGGTACATACGTCATTTAGGACAGTACACTCATAGCTAGGCTGAAACTTTTCTTGTTCTGAAACTGGTCTCTTCAAAATTTTTTCGCGATCCTGTTTGTGCTTTCTATCCGCACCTTTTAGTTTAAAAACTTTTATTTGACATGCAGCTACATGCAATCTTCGAATATTCTCGGACTCATTATTTCCGTAATATGTTTCAACTTGCAATCGAAATGGTACTCCCTTTTCGCCACCATGTTTTCTTGGAGTAAATTCCGTACTTATGCAATTCACCTTAAAGTTTTAATAATCTCAAGGTTAAAAAATACAGAAAAGAAATACGTCCTTATGTTGTCAAGTTTATTCAAAATGATTATGACGTTTATTTGAATGTTCAACTTGTAATTGATTGGTTGTTAATTACCTTTATGTAAATTCCCACTTCTTTCGTAGGATCCCAACTAAAACACACAGTATTCAAAGAATTTGCTGGTTGACTAACTTCACAAAGACCGTAAGATAATGGCACATCAATTTCAAGAATACGATCTCCCGGTCTTGATTTTTGCCATAATTTCATTTGTTCCTTTTCCATGTATTGTAATCTACGTTCATGAAAACATACACGTATAACGCTCTAAAAATATAGATAATAATTCATATTTTATTGGTAATGATATAGAAAGAAATTTTATATGAATGCTATAGCTACAATTAACTGCAGTCATCGTCAATGTCATCTTTGAGGGGTACATAGTCGTGAGTCTCAAATGTTAGGGGACCTCGTTTTCATAAGACTAATTTTTTTAATTAAAAGAAAAATAAATAAAGCTGAAAATTAAACACTGGGTCACAAATTAAATTATTTAAAAAAATATATCTGCATCCATAATTTTGTAATTACTGTTGCCTAACATAACTGTTTTAATAAATAAAACTAAAAATTGTCAATTTATACGATATATTTTTTTGAAACAATTTTCGACAATAAAATAAACAGTCAGTCAGAGAGACCTTTTTTCAAAATTTTAAACCTGATCTTGGCATAACTTAATGCCGACGTCAGTTATCGATTATGGAAAAAGCTGCAAACATAGAAAAGGATGTCTTCTAGAATAATTTGTAACTTCTTAAGTTTTGTTCTGACTAGCAGTATTAGACAATTAACCACTATAATAAACTATATATAAGTTACAATCTTAAGTAGCAACCGTTGAAACTATCATATTTTATAAAATATGATATTTCGACATTTAACTTATATTTACTTTTAAAAATATTAATTTAAAAACAGATTGCGGCTGAGAATTAAACTTTTCCCATTTATGTTTTGATATCCCATAAGTAGATTGAGAAATTAGGATGATATAAAAATTACAATAACTTGGATGATGAATGTCGAAATGTTTGTTGACTACGCTTTTCAGCGAAGTAAATGGCACCTTAAAATTAGAAAAACTGCTTAACGAATAGAGATAAGAATAAAGAAGATACCAATTAGAATCTTTAATTTTCCACCCCTTTTTACCTTGCAAGTGGTGTCTATATGTGATATCTTTGTTTCGTTCACCGTTGAACTTCTCAATCGGCACACCTATACGTTTTATTTGTTTCTTCTGGGTTTGTTTATTTTAGTAGCCGAAGTTTTCAAAGTTTATCAGCGGATTTCTTATCATAATCCTACTTTGTTGCTTTTATAAACCCTTCTTCAAATTTTTATCAATTTTAACTAGTACTCATTTTTTTACGTCTCTTCTTTCAGCTATATATTTGAATTCTATATTATTTTTAAACTAATTTTAAAGCAGAGGATTATGTGATAGTTATCCCCTTTCAGTAACTTTTCGTAATGGGAAATTGTTTTATGGAACATAATGGAAGTACCCCGTAAAGTTTTCTTAAATTTTCATACTGTTTTGCTCCAGCAAATGCGATGAAACGGTCGTTCGAGTAAATAGTTACTCTATTAATTATGATATGTACCTCTTTGTTTTCTTTAAAATGCATATTATTAAATAATATCGGTCCTTTGACGACGGGGATAAACTGGTTTTAACGTGCATAAAAATAATTAATTGCTGACTATCGATTAACAAGATGACGCTTACCGAGAAGCAAACGAATCAATTTCAACAGAAATTGGATGCGGAGCCTCAAGAAGAAAATTGATAAGCAGTGTAGAAGATTAGAAACAGCTCAAACATTAATGTCTGTTTTTGAAGTAAAAACTACTTTAGGTTCGTTGAGCAATTATTGGAAGGGGGTAAACTTATGAATTCGCGTCACCGACATGCTCCGACACCAAGGCGCACGCGCAGCGGACTGCATACACGTATACACCAGCACATGACCTTCGTTTCTGAGATTATTCCACCCAAAGTTATGCGCAATTTTGAGCATCATACAATTCGAAACTAAGGCGTTGCGATCTGCTTTCTTATCTCTATAACTAATAAATTCGTATAAAAAACGTTGCGATAAAAAGGATTCATAATGTGTTATCGTTGCACAAAATAATAATTCAATTTTTTAAATTTATAATGACTTAAATAACCACCTGCGTATAAGGGTGTAGAGTGTGCGCTTTCTTTGTAACCAGAATATCATACGGTGTTGCTACTAAAGGAATAATCATAGAAATCTAATTTTACAAATCAAATCACAAAAAAAAGGTGGGGGGATAATTAATATATTATTAATATTTAATAAAGGCGTTTTTCTGGGTGCGCTTTCTTAAAATTTGCTTAAGAACGCCACATGTAATAAGCATACTTGCAAAATACTCTAATCAAATACTCTTAAAGTATGTATTTGTAAGTTCGGTAATAAGTTGCTATTAGCCAATTAAGGTGGAATCAACAATTGATTAGTAAACCCAAGCGGCGTTTAATTATTATCAATGTATAAAATATTTTGTTGCTGTGTAATGGAATCATTTTTCATTAATTATTACAATCAGGGCCGCAACAAGGGGGGACCCGCGGGTGTCTGAGCACCCACTCGATTGGGTTGGGCACCCAGTCAATTTTAGGTCGATTCAGATAATAACCCAACGTGAAAGTTCGGTTCAAATAGTTCAAGCTCGTAAATGAGCAGCCCAACGCGATCTTTTCAACTATAAGAAATTCAATACATTGGTGGCCTTTTTTTTTAGTCATTTATAATATTATGATGAGAGCATCACTCAATCTATTACGATCATTCGAATATCAAATATAGTAAGACTAACATCATAAAATAAAGTTAATATAACTCTGTTTAGTTCGTTTCTTATTCAAGACGTTACACAATCAATAAATCAATTACCCGGTTAACATACGTAGAATGACCAAATTGCCATGTTAAAATATGGTATATTTACTGAATAAATTACAAACCTTAAGAAGTTTCCCGCGGTATGTGGATAAATCGCCTAACTTTTTTGCTTTAATCTCGTAGCTTTGACCTTGATTTAAATATGTTAATGTATCCTCATTCAACTTAGTAGCAATGCTTGTCGCAGCCGCCAAAACATACTGAAATCGACAATCCTCAGGAAAAGTAGTGCTACTTGACGTTACATTATTAAATCCATCCTGGGAGACATTAGTGGATGTAAGTAAATTACCTAAAACAAGACAATTCCCAACAATAATAATGTTATTCATATTTCAATACAAATATGCGTGTACATGTGCAAAAGGTTGTTCATAAACTACGTAAGTTTGGACTTACATGAAAAAGTATAAAGAGGACAAGGGAAGGCTTTAGGTAACAGAGGGTGTCACTTTATTTAATATAAATCAAACATGCAAAACCAAAAAAATTGTTAAGATGTAAGGTACTATTTAGAATAAATTTTAATAACTTTGAGAACATTTCATTGCTGTGAGTAACCCTAATAAAAATCGTTTTATCACTGCAAAGCACTTGAAGAAATAATAACAATTCTAACGTCACCGAAAAGTTCCATAGAATTTTCTAGAAGTTTCTAATCGCGAGTTACCTTAACAAACCAAATATCATAGGAAAGCTCTCGAAGAGAGAAGAATGAATTTATCGTTATTGGAGAATCTCATCGAGTTTTCTGGAAATTTCCACAGATCGTGAATAACCCTAACGAATTATGTCATTGGAAAACTCTTGAAGAAAACAAATTGGACGTTATTGAAGCATTCTGTTCAACAATCCATGTATCACTGAACAGCTCGCAAAGCAAAGAATAAAGAACTATTCTTCATAAAACAAGATATTTTATGCCTATTACAACCGGGGGTGCGAAAGCAATCATAGAAGAACAAAGGCTTTAATGGCAATAATAGCAGAAATAATACAAAAATTGAAAAAGGGTAAGAAGGATTAAAAGAAGTAAAAATGGAATAAGTAAGGTTCAAAGAAGAAAATGGGATAAAACAAATTAAAAGCAGCTCAAAAAAAAATGAAACAATTAATTATTAAGCTGGAGATGACGTTGGAAGAAATTTTTTGAGACGCGAATTAAATAAATGAAAGAAGATATTAAAAGCTAAAACCACCCACTACTGCGAGAACTATCGATTTCGATGCCAGGTCACTAAAAGTTACACCTCCAATTTTTGATGAAAAAGATTTTGTGGTCCGATCGCCGGAAGCAGTTTCAAGCAGCGGCAGAGACAAACTAAAAATGAAGCTTAGCACCGTTGAGGTGATTATTGAGGAAGACAGGATACTACCGAAAACATTGTAAAAAGTTACAATCCAGACCTGTTACAATTGTGCCAGTAGCTGAAATTCACCATTGTAACTTAGGCCATAAACCTTCAGCAGCTTTAATCAAACTGGTGAATAGGTCCAATAATCACGTCAACATAGATCAAACCAAAGAACCAAATGAGCTTAATAATTCATTCTTTGCACTAACTTTCAAAATTATAATAATATTTTTATTTTAAGAAGCAGCCAAAAAGGGGTAAAATGTTCTTCATTTATTATGTAATCTCCACCGAGGTTAAGTCTTTCGGTCCAAGGGTTTATCAAGCTACATTACTTACAATTAGTTAATTAATTACATCAGACGGAGACATTGGTCTTGTATAATTACTCGAGAAATTAATATTTGTTAAACATTTCGATAAAAATCTCTATAAGAAATCAGTCTCAAATTAAAATAACATGAAATTTAAAATAATAAATATTAATCAATAATTAAAGATGCATAAAATGACAACCATAATTAAAATTTTGTGTATTAATTTTTATAGTAGTGTCTAATAAATAAAATATTAAATTCTTGAGTGATTATACCAAAAAATTTTCAATGTCTCTGATATAATTAAGTAATCTATCTTGATAAAGTTTTGGCTAGAAAGGCGAAACGTCGGTGGAGATTACGTAATAAATAAAGAAAATTTCACCCCTTTCTGACTACCTCTTATTGAAAAAATATTAATAGAGCTGCTTAGTCGTTTTCAACATATTTACGCACTTTCGGTACAAAAAATCAGCTTACCAAAAGGATTATTTGGGCGAAGTAAGAGGAAGTGAATGACATATGTAAGGGTGCTAAAACCATTTCTAAGTTTTTGAGCTTCCTCTTTAGTGCTAGTCTGGAAGAAAGATGATTCCAAGAGATTTTGCGAGGACTATAAAACACTGAATCAAGTAACACAAAAGAATAGTAACCCATTATCCCGAATCGACGACATAGGTACTAGACAGTCAATCAATAAATCAACTTGCAGTACATTTCTTCACTCATTGCAACGATGGTTCCAAATTTAGTAATGCACATGACAAAACGGCTGTTGCTAGAGCCATTAGCTGCTCTTGACAAAGAGCTCCAAAAGCGCCTGTACAACTTGTTCGTTTCATTGAAGAAAATCATTTTTTGTCCATGACGTCATAGATTAAATTTTAAGTATCTATATAACGATCCCCCTTCTCAACCACCACCGACAATTTGCAGATAAAAACAGAACTAGCGGTCTGAAATTTGACTATTCGTTTATTATATACTGTAAGAAATATGCGTTTAAGTATCCGGATTTTGTAAAATTTAGTAAAACTTTATTAAGCTGTTAAGAAAATATTAGCGAATGAAAACGTAAAGAAAATTGTTTTGCAATTATTACCGTTGCTGCAACAAACACTCATAATATTATATTCTGGAACTAATGGGCTATCAAAATGTTTTAATTCAAATTGCCATAGGCCTATTTTCGTTATCCAGGATGTTATCGTTTAATCCAAATTTTCAATTAAAAACTCGAAATTTTAACGTATTCCAGTTAGTATTAAACAATTTCAAAGGAATGGAAGAGTTTAAACAGCCGCGTCCTTTTTACGTATTCTCTCAGATGATTTTGGTTCAGTTCATCAATAATTGTAAACCTTTGTTTGGCATTTACTGTACGTATACATACATTAAACTATACCGTAGATATGTTTATCTGTATATTAGGTCAATCTCTCAGCCGTGAACAAAACGGTCTCCGTGGGTACATAAAGGCGATCAATTTGTATATCCAAGGACTAGTTTTGTAAAAATTTCATTCGACTTTATTAAGCGGTTTAAAAAATATGAACGAACGACTAAAGAATGAAACCGGAAAAGTGCGCGTTTTTGTCTTAAAATCTAATCTAATCTCATAATTTAATATTCTGCAACTAGCTGATTACTTAAACATCCTATTGAAATTCATGTGACATAAACACTATTTCTCTAAGAGCGTCTACGCAAATCGAAACGGCGCACACACTAGTGAGCACCGCTTATTACTAATTTAGAAAATGAATAAGCACAAGACATCAATGTAAAACGATGACAAACGACGAAACTAGCACACATAAAAATGTAAACTCAGCGAGCAAAACAATGAAACTCATAACGACGAGACCAAGAACACCGTTAATGGTTTGAAAGATATTAAGGAACGATTAAAGAATGAGAACGGAAAATGAGCGTTTTTGTCTTGTAATCAAATCGTATAGATCTATTTCTTCCCATATTCTCCAACTAGCTGACTGCCTATTTAAGCATCTAATTGAAGGATAAAATTGACAAGTGATGCTATTTTCGATATCTTAAATTTTTAATCAAAATCTAACTAAACATTACCAATTTCAACACATTTGAGTTGAAATAGTCGGAAAAGTGGGCGATATTAAAGGTGTGTATAGTTGGTTGTAAATACACATATTCTAATCAAATGTTATAAAAATTAAATTCGGGTGTATAATTAGTTACATATACATGTATCATGAATAGAGTTCAGGCATTAGTGGCTTTATCCTTGAAATTTAAGAATAATTTTGCGTTCTAATAATTACCGACTTATTTGCTTTAACTATGCTGTTCAACCATACGCACACTAGATGGAATATACAATGGATTATACTTGTATGTATTACTAGCTGACCCGGCCACGTGCTGGTGTGGCTCATTAGTTCTAATAAGTTGAATGAACATTATATTAATCTTTTTATTACATTTTATTTAAATTTCATAATAAAAGTTTAAAATGTGTTAGACGAGTTAAAATCCGCCGTTGTATATATCAAAAAAAAATTCAGTAATCTATTTAAGTGCTGATTTGATGGTTTGCTCACACGTGAGGAGACGACATATACGTAATTGCCCTTGGGAGAAACATAGGGAGCTAACGCGCAAAAAAGCTATGTCGTCGCAACCTTCTGCCGCTTAGTGTTGCGATGCGTTTTACTAGTACATTTAAATGACATATTCCTAATATGTATCGGGAAATAAAGGAAATTACAGAAACGGACCGAAAGTACACGAGTTTCGTTTTCCAACGTATGAAGCAATGTCTGCTAAATAGGCACGGTCTATTAATCCATGTATCACTGAACAGCTCGCAAAGCAAAGAATAAAGAACTATTCTTCATAAAACAAGATATTTTATGCCTATTACAACCGGGGGTGCGAAAGCAATCATAGAAGAACAAAGGCTTTAATGGCAATAATAGCAGAAATAATACAAAAATTGAAAAAGGGTAAGAAGGATTAAAAGAAGTAAAAATGGAATAAGTAAGGTTCAAAGAAGAAAATGGGATAAAACAAATTAAAAGCAGCTCAAAAAAAAATGAAACAATTAATTATTAAGCTGGGGATGACGTTGGAAGAAATTTTTTGAGACGCGAATTAAATAAATGAAAGAAGATATTAAAAGCTAAAACCACCCACTACTGCGAGAACTATCGATTTCGATGCCAGGTCACTAAAAGTTACACCTCCAATTTTTGATGAAAAAGATTTTGTGGTCCGATCGCCGGAAGCAGTTTCAAGCAGCGGCAGAGACAAACTAAAAATGAAGCTTAGCACCGTTGAGGTGATTATTGAGGAAGACAGGATACTACCGAAAACATTGTAAAAAGTTACAATCCAGACCTGTTACAATTGTGCCAGTAGCTGAAATTCACCATTGTAACTTAGGCCATAAACCTTCAGCAGCTTTAATCAAACTGGTGAATAGGTCCAATAATCACGTCAACATAGATCAAACCAAAGAACCAAATGAGCTTAATAATTCATTCTTTGCACTAACTTTCAAAATTATAATAATATTTTTATTTTAAGAAGCAGCCAAAAAGGGGTAAAATGTTCTTCATTTATTATGTAATCTCCACCGAGGTTAAGTCTTTCGGTCCAAGGGTTTATCAAGCTACATTACTTACAATTAGTTAATTAATTACATCAGACGGAGACATTGGTCTTGTATAATTACTCGAGAAATTAATATTTGTTAAACATTTCGATAAAAATCTCTATAAGAAATCAGTCTCAAATTAAAATAACATGAAATTTAAAATAATAAATATTAATCAATAATTAAAGATGCATAAAATGACAACCAT